TGGATGTAAGGCTGCTTAAATCAACACCAACAAACCCGCACAGACTCGACAACAACAACAATCAAGGGTCCGAAAAATCATAGAGAAACACGTAAACAAACACACAAACACACAGTCCCTAGGCTATCCCCCCTACCCTGCAGAGGAGCACATTAAAAAACAATTAGGCCGCTCTGATTTGTCTGTTTTTTCTTTCGCCTCTTCGCCTCGGTGGCAACCTGCAGAGTCCAGCTGCTCCCCTCAGGCCTCAGCGGAGCGGGAGGAGAGAGAAACGCCGCTTCAAAGAGAGAAAGACGACAGAGCGGAGACGGAGGGCGGACATCTCTGCAGCTGAGGCGGTGGACAGAAAGAACTAAACTGTCAGCACGGTAAGAAGGTGGATACTGTTGTTGTAAGCTCTCTAATTACACTGCAAAGGTAGGCTGACGGACAGACACGGAGGATACAAAGAAAAGAGTAAACACTCAGTTAGAGGATTTAGCGAAACAATCACCGACTCCTCTGTCTTTGCAGAAAAACACGTCGAGCTAAACGTTTGAGATACAACCAACAAAGTTCAGTTTCCTCACATAAAGAAACGCCACATTTGTCTGCATCAGTTTTTCTTTTATATCCTTTGTTGGAGAAGATTACTGTTTTCTTCTACCACGCAATTTCCAGAAATACCACGAAATATGCAGATCTAAAATCACTATAAACACTGAAGCACAAAAAGTTTCTGATAACCGCTCACTGCGTCTTGAACCACTTCAGAGAAGTGCATCTCTCTCTTTCTTTCTGATGGAGAATGTCAGGGTGACTTTGTATATTGAGAGCATCTGAAAAACCACGCAGGCCTAAAAATAGTCGACTCATAGGAGGATAAAAACATCCTTTTTTATCTACAGCAGCAGAGAAGTTTGGCATGAGAGGAGAGATTGACCACTGAGCTAAACTAAAGAAGCAGCAGGTTTATTTATAAAAGAAAAGAAATGTACAAGATGAACATTTTAAATTTGACTTTGTGTTTCACAGAAGTTTTTTCAAGGCTGATAAAGATACAGATCACGAACATTCAACGATGAAAACACTTTTACAACTCTGAACCACTTATTTGTGCGATAGGAGCGATCCGTCTTTTTTAAAAAGTCCTGTCTTCTTCTTCTTTGAGGTTTTGTTCACTATTTGCTGCTTTTGCAACGTCCAATATTCAGCTTAAAGTGCATCACCAGTGGTCCCACAATACGATATCATGATACTTTGTGATTTATACCATTTTTTCAACTGTTGAGCTGATTTATCATTTGTCTTTCCTTCATGTTTGTCTTATTTACGCTGCGTTTTATTTTCATGTAGCACATCTTGAAAACCTTTTGTGTCAGCTCCATCACATTTTTGCCGTTTGCAATCCTAATGTCTTTCCCCTGGTGGCGCTATATTTGTTGTCTCCTGCTCTATAACGTCACCTCTGCCAACCTCTCTGGACAAACAGTTGATTTTAGTTTTTCATTATCATAGATTTGACTTCATATTAGCAATTTAATTTGGTAAATGAGGTGATACGATATATCACCAGACAAAATATCGTGATACTATGCCGTATTGATTTTTTCTCCCACTCTCAGGGCCTGATCTACTAAGATCCAAAATAGCGTGCGCTAAATTGCGTGCGCAAACTAAAAATTTGAAAAAAACACGTGCTATTTGTGGGCGTGTTGCATTTGATCTACTATCATTGTATGTGCAATTGATAATGGGTGCAAAAGTGGTCCGGACCGCCCTCTTTAAAGGAGGATTTTGTGTGCGCTATCGGCTGTCACCACGGCGAGTTTGTAGGAGCAGCGTGGTCATACATGAAAAAGCCATGGAGTTGCACATATCGTTTTGGGGAGCTGCATAAAAGGCAAGGGAAGTTTAAAATCAATAAGACAAACAGATATTTTTATTCGTCTGTTTTGTGTTTGATCTCATTTATGAAAATCGTAATTAACCGGAAAAACAAAATGAATCACAAGTTTTAGGACAAGGATCATGGCGTGTATCGTGGCACTTCTGCCTCCTTCTCTCCACAATGACCGTGCGTAAGGCTGCTCCAGTTTGCACGTGGCTTTCAAACGTGCTAAATATAGACGCAAAACAGCGACCGCAATTGGTTTAATAGATCACATTGCGGGTGCTAAATGATTCCAGAATGCTCCTCCCGGAATTTTGCGCGTTCTGCTGATCTACATTTCATGAAGGCAGACACGCTAAATGGATTGCCGGCGCTGTTTTGCTCATTTGAAAGACGCAATCCTCGGTGCTCCCGGTTAGTAGATAAGGTTTGCGTGCGCTATCAAGTTTGCACGTGTTTTTGCACACGCAAACCTTTAGTAGATCAGGGCCTCAGCGCGCAAACACTAGAGTATGTGGAAAACTCCTTAGGCAGTTTCAGTCCAATTTAGCCGTATGGATGAAAGAAATCGATCCCTGAACTGTTTTTCCTCATCCTTTTGGGTAACGTAATATCATCTCATGGTCGTTTGAATCTAAAATCCCAAACTTGAGACACTGTAGGTGTAAAGAAGACTGAAGGGATAGAGGGACAGGATATTACCATATTACTTTCATCCTCACACTGTAACAGTGAACGCTCTCTGGCTGCGGTCTGCATCACCTCTGTCGTTTTTCGGCTCCGTGTTCAGGTGACTTGGAAGAGGATAATCCCTGCCAATCAATTACCCTTCACAGCCAAAGTCATCAGGCGGCGCCAGCTGGGCTGATTTCAGCCAAATCAAAGGTGGACAATAAAGGGACGCGTTTAAGCGACGCGCGCACATCCTGCAAAGCTGTATGACCTGCTAATGGAGCGCTCTTCAGTGATGACTTTAACACAACCTCAGCACTACATGAATGACAGGTACAGGTGGCTGCTAATAGTGATGCTGGTCACTTTGGTGTTGGAGGGAAGCAGAAGTCTGCAAAGGTTTTTAGTCGATGCTTCATATCTGAGAGCAGCTTCGTGTTTTATGGTTTTATGGGTCCAGGTCCAGTTTTTCTCTGATACTGAGTCTCTGTTTTATGGTCATATCGAAGTGGATCTGAGAGGATAAACAGCTTTATTTTAATTTTCATTATAACCAGACATACATGAGTTCAGATAAGACGGATTTAAGTAAAACCAATTCATCAAAATAATATCCACTGGAGCGAAGGATATATGGGTAAAGTATAATAAAGTTAAAGTTATAAAGAAATGAAAGTAAAGCTTCAAAGACAACAAAGTCCAGGCTGTAAACCGTATTAAGTACGGCAGACTCACGCTTCACTAGATTAAGACAGGAACATCAATAACGAATAAGAGACAAATGAAAATGAGTCATTTTCACACTTGAGGCCCCGGTGCTTTTTAAGTTCATTTCAGGACTTTCAGGCCCTGATGTTTAAAGGAACGGGCTTTTCACACATGCAGCTCACAGCAGGGGTTTGTAAGTGTTGGACACACTCTGACATCTCCAGACACTCTGTTTATATTTAGGAGGGGGGTAAAAGCAGTAATAGGAAGAGTCGTCTGTAATGGAGACTAGATGATAGTTTTGCGTTTTGGTCGTTCCTGTTCACACAGACCCAAAGAGTTTTTGAAACCAGGTTTCAGATTTGAGTCTTTTCAAAATAAAACCTGCGTAAAGTAGCAACAAGCAGTCCAGAGGTGTGTCACAAATCGCACACTTCCATACTAAATACTTTAAAATTTGAGTATTCTCAACTCAAAATGGAAAAAAGTCTGGATAGTAAGCAAAAACTGAGTATGCAAAAGTACCCAGATGATGTACTCAAATCAGTCCAGATTTTGAGACTGCGGACACTCACCCGCACTCATTTCATGAGTAAGAATGGCTGTGGACGGCTGTGGTGCCAGTGGGTCGGCGACAGTCGACCTGGGAGCTTTGTACAGATGGAAGTAAAAAGTTTCCCTCTCCATCAAGCACCTCCAGCGTTTATCGTTTTGAGTATATTTGTGGTGTAACCTGTTTTTTGTCTTTTACCGCGAATGGTATCACGAATGCTAATGGTCGTTAGCTAGTAGCCGCCGGGTTCTGAAGCGTGGCTAAATAAAAAATAACCAGCGGGCCAGCAGAGCCTGTTCATGGACTATACGACCAGAAGCACCCACATTTTAATTTATCAGTGTACTTTCACTGTATTTTTGGGACAGCACTGCACCCTTGAAACTCGTGCACTGCGCGATTGAGTACATAGTACAAGTGAAGATCGCCTCATTCCCACATTTACTGAATTTGCATTTCAACAATAATTGAGCCTCAGACGTCTTCTGTAAAGCCATAACATAAGCTGTGTAAAAAAATTATAACTTTAGCTTATATCCCAGTAGACAGTGTATGCTAACAGGGCAAAATGGCGATCTAAGTGGGTGCTAATGGCCAACCTAAGATTTATTCTGTGATGGCAAAACTTTCAGGTGACTGTACGGCTGTGTAAATAGTAACACCCACGACCTCTGTCTAACTTAATATCAGCAGATATTAAGCAGCTAAAACAAAGGAGTTGCTGAAATCAGGGCTTTTGCAGATGCTGGTAGAGGATAAATAAGAACTTTATGAAGCTTTAGTGTTCCAGGCTGACTAAATAAGAGGTGAAAATAAGTATAATAGGTCCTCCTTAAGTAATAACGTTGATTCACCTGATATTTGGATGAATTCAGGATCAGACGTGCTCTGATTCATGGTAACAATATCTGAATGTCAATCCAGTTTCTCAGTGATTACCAAGTCCAATCAGGCTTTGGAAACTGCCCCCGATTCCTCAGAGTCTACCAGTTTGGACTGTGAGGACATCTAACCCAGAATCTATAATAAGCTTTTCCACAGAACAAACAGGAAGTAGGGTCACACTGCGGTCACAGTGTCTCTTGAATCATCACTTGTGTGTTCAGTTGCTCACCCAATTAGGATTGCCGCCTCTCTTTTTAGTAGAGGTCACACTCTCGGCCGAGCTGAAGGCGAAGGAGAGTCCTATCTGAGTGCTGGTGGTGGTTATAGTGATGGTGGCGCTCTTCCTCTAGCATCCTCCGTCTGTGTTTCATAATCAGGGATGAACACAACTCTGAAGAGACAGAGGAGATATGTATTAGAGCTCTGCTGATGGCGTTCATTTCAATCGCTGCCAATTTATTCTCCCAAATAATACAAGCACTAATCTAATAATGACAAGGAGGGGAAATTGCTCCTCACCAGCGCTCTGTCACACACTGCCATACACTCCGCAGAATCAGTGTGTGCGCTTAAGTGTACATGTGTAAAAATATGTGTATGAGCTGAGCTCCCAAATGGGGTTTCATACTGAGGATTTTCTCTTTAATTTTAGTCACAGTTTATGTTTAGTGAGATGTGTGTGTCGAGTGTGTGTGTGTGTAAGACAGGCTGAAACTAATTCTTCCTGCCATTATCATTATGAGACAGGGAGCGCGGAGCTGAGCGGGGATTACCGTCTTTGTCATCCTCTACATCACTTACTTTAATAAAACTTCAAGCCTGTGATTACATTTCATATGCAAATATTGTATGCTGTGTGAATAGAAAATGAGGAGTAAGACAAGGTTAAGTCTGAGTCACTGCTCAGTCTGGGCTCAGTCTGTGCGATAAAGGCGGTTTCCTATTGTGAAGGGAGGCGCCGACAAAAGGGTTAGCTCCAATTAAAACACCTCATTAAAAACAGGAGCGGATTACAAGCCGAGGTGAACCCAAACCGGAAACCAGATAACTGACGTTTGGAACCTTCAAATTAAGAAACTTTCAAAATTAGAATCTGAGATATTACAAACTAAATCCAGCCAATCAGATCGTGATGTGGGCGGGACATCGAATGAGGCAAAGGGAAGAGTAATGAGGCGCTCACATCAAGCACGAGTAAAATCATCTACTCGCTAAATTTGCCGAATCTAGACTCGTGAAAGAAAAGTATTTACTCACTTCATTCACGCGTCAACGGTAATTTCAACGGTGATTCCTGCCAATTTAAGTGATAGTCAAATGTTTTTTACAATTTACCAGGTAATCAGTCCTCCTCGCTCAATTTCCTCCAGACGAGATCCTTTTTTTTCCGGTTTGGTAATTTAAAAAAAAGGTAATCATATAATTCGGGGCACCAACACACTGACACGATCACTTTGTCTTCCATTTTAGATATCAGTGAACAACCGTCTGTTTTCATACGTCACCCGGCAACCATCGTGCTGATTAGTTATCAGGACGTGAATATGCGCTCAAGTTGAGACATTCTCAGCTTCCGAACAGTTTGCGTCATTCGCACTGCCAGAGTAGTAGGAGGGTCTAATGGTGTCTTTGCATTGACTTTACATGAAATTCATCCACGCGAATGATTTTACTCATGATTGGTGTCTGGAGACAGTTAGAGCAGCCTCTGATGGAAACAGCCATTAATTTTATTGGCCATTTATAGAGTTGAACACTGATGCAGATTATTTTCTAAATCCCGAATATTGACCTCAATCAAGAATCAGCCAAGATCAAAAAAATCTGCCAATCTGAGATCCTTCGTCCAAGACCGAGAAGGTGCCTAGTACTCGTATCAGAACAAGGACCAAAACATCAAAAGCTAGACCCTTCTACTCAACGCCCTACTCACTTCAATCGTTTAACCCCCAGAGTTGAAAAATTTGGACTCGAGAAAATCGCTTGCATTGTGATAGCCAATCAGCATAAAGGTTCTCCAGTCAACAGTGGATCATCAGTCGGATTATCTGGCAGTTAAACACGACAAATCCTCGCGTTAAAATTGGCGTGAATAACGCCAGTTGATAATCTCATTTGTGTCCGTTGTTGTGAGCACAACGTTAATGAGTTACCCGACTTTATATAATCCACACAGTCCTCTTCTACTTCTGAGAAACCTTCTGACTCTGCTCTTTGAAGCTTCATGAATATGACATGTTGTTGACGATGAGGATGTCGTTCTACGCCGACGATCTTGTATTGTCAGTTGCAGTTGAGATGATATGACTCATGTATGAAACAGTATTGAAATAGCTGCTGGACTTGATACTTCCCTGCTCTGCACACAAACACGGTCACATGCTGCCTGGAGTGACTTTTAACCAGTCTTGTGTCTCACGTCTTGCTCTCCTCCCTCGACAACATGCGTTTCTCAAAAATAGAACAATCATGTCAAACGGACACGCCTGCGTCGCTCTGACTGACAGACCTCCTCAGTGGTGTGCCCTCACGTGTGAGTTTGAGTGTGACTGGTGTGTTTCATGCATGTCAGAGCTGCATCGGGTCGGCCGAGTGTGTGAGTGTGTGTGTGAGTGTGTGTGTGTGAATCTCTCCCCTGACACACCTCACAGGGAGAGGCTGAGGACTACAGCAGAGCTGACAGTGCATGACTAAACGCCCCCCGTGAACCTGCCTGAATGGAGCTGACTGCTCCAATGAGGCGGGGCAGACCAGACAAAGCACATGTGGGCGAGCGACCAGAGAGCGAGGGAGGAGGCCGGGCTGGATGTGTCAATCATCCCTGCTGGGGGACAAGGACACTTTGTATGGAGGCTAAAGGATGGGAAACGTAGCATTGACCGAACCACAGAGGGACACTGGAAAACCGGAACCATTGTCTCTTGATGTGGTTTTGAGGCGTTTAGTTTCTTTGCGGGGATGAGAAGCTGAGCGACGATGAGCTTGATGGATGTGTGCGCCTCTGCCCTCTCACATCTGGGAGTGATTATCCTTTGTGCTTCGTGGGTTTTGTAGGAAATGGGTGAGAAAGAGAAAGAGAGATTTGATTCTTCATCAGATGGGACTTTTTGTTCATAGAGAGATTTTCTCACAGGCTGAAGTTGATGTCTTCATCGTCGTCTCCTGAGATTAAAAATCAGCGCCGCGGCGGAGTCTGAGCGTGCTTTAAATTTCACCTTCCTGCTTCAAAGTCAAAGTCAAGTGGCAGTGCTCGAAGCCAGAGTTTGGGCAAACCCGTATTGAACTAATCAATCACCTAATTCAGTTTCTTGTTGAAATTGGCTAATTATCCTGAGCCCAGTGGAAAAATCAATCCAGCTGATGAGTCTGATTGGGCCGACCTCACTCTAGTTGATTATAAAAGAGGTTTGATACGGGGAAGAGACAGCCTGCTGCCACCGGAGAAAACAGAGGAGCGTGGGCCCGTTAATCATTGTTCAAAATATAAAAAACAGCTCTTCGGGTGACACCCCAAAATTTGTCTTTTACTGGAAAGTGGGAGATTGCAACCTTGGAGGTATTAAGATTGTAAGTGGGTGAATTGCAGGAGAGGTGTGATTTTTAAAGATCAGGTGGGTTTGTTATTAAAATGTTTTATTCATGAGCTGGAGATGAATTTCAGACGTGTAAAACAAGGTTCTCAGGAAAGAGACCTGAGATGCTGAATCAAATCACGATATAATCCTGTAATGTAGGGGTGCAAAATATTGGATTTTCACGATCTCTTACACACCAATATTCTCAGACTCATACTGACATCAATACCAATATTTATACGCTTTTTCTTTGCAAATGATGCAAAGTTTCTCCTTTAACTGTACGTCTGTCTATCTATCTATCTATCTATCTATCTATCTACTTATGGGGCGTTCACACCAAGCACGGTTAGACGCTCATACTACTCTGACGGCGCGAATGACGTGAATTGGTGGGCGCGAATTGAGCGAGCTATTCGTGCGAATTGAGTGGACGCGAATTCACAACAGTTGAAAATATCTTAACTTAAAAGAATATTTGTGTCGCAATAACCAATCAACATGAAGATTCCCAGGTGACGTATGAAAACGGACCGGAAGACGTTCACTGGTGTGAAAATATAAACACAAACTCTTTTACTCACAGTAGACAGATGGACAGGCGCTCTGCAGCTGGGATAGAGCGCCTGTAATCAGTACTCTGGAAGGATATCCCGGCGCCGATCTTCACAAACAGGTCATCAGATTGGGTTCAGGTAACCTGAAAATACCGCTGGAAACGGCCGTCATCTGGGCCATTGGAGAAGACCCAGACACGGCGGCGCCAACATCTCTGACAGTTGTAACCACGACAAAAACAAAGCAGCAATCCACTGAACGTGGTTCAGACTATCTGGTAAGTTTGTCTATCACTTGATCTCGCCAGCTGAATTGGCAGGAATCACTATCCACGACTTCCACTCCACTCTGTTGACGCACAAATCATTCGCGCGAGTGAAGCGAGTAAATACTTTTCATTAACGTATCTAGATACGTGCGAATTAAGCAAATAGTCAATTTTACTTACGCTTGGTGTGAACGCCCTCTTATAGAGACAGTTTGGAGACAAACAGACATGATAACTGCATACACCTCTGGAATCTGCAGTCTGTTTCCAACACTTCAAAATACAGTTTTCCTGCTGCTGTTACCATGAAAAGTCCAAGACCTTTTCAAACTGAAAAATGGAGGATTATGCTGATCATGCATCAAAGCAGTTTCCTCCTCAAGGCCACCGTTAATGTGGAGTTTCAACTACTGGAAGGGTGAGCAGGGGAGCGTTGTGACCATGATTCTGACTTCCAGGTTCTGCAAAATATTCCAGTTCCTACGCATCACTGTTGCGATGCATGAACTCCAAACTCCGAACATTACCGTGCACTGATCAGGCCTCGCTTCTTAAAGTTTAAACGATAATTTGAAGTGGTTTTAAAAGCAAAAGTCCAGCTGTGTGGTTTGTTTGTTTGTTTGTTTGTTTGTTTTGTCTCTTTACAAGCTCTCCCACATTTTCAGTAATGAAGTAGATTTTCTTCATGTTTCTGGGTTAACGTCGGAACCTTGAGACAGATTATAGTTGTATGAGCATTTTTAAGTTTTCAAAGCTGCAGATTTTTTCGTGTTTAATCCATAAAATATGCTGAAATTAGATTTCCTCGGCTCCTAAATTAAACATCTGTCTCCGGTTCAACTGCAGAATTTGATAATCCTTTTAGTTTAGGAAATGTCAGCGACTAAAGGATTAGAAATTCAAGCTCTGGAGGCTCTGCGGACGAAGAATTAAGGAGCTACTGAAAAAACAATGAAGGTGAACTAGTTCTTTTTAACCTGTATGAACTCATGTGTGATTTATGAAGTGAACCTGAACAGGCTGTGCCTCTTACAATGGGAGTGGATCCTCTTATAATCAGGTTGTGTAATATTTGGGTCAATAAGGTAACAGAAAAAGACTTCACCATACTCCCACTTGCAGATTTGACAGTTTCTCATTTCCTCTTTGTTCCTGTCGGGCCTTTTCTGCAGCTTTTGTCTTCCTCAAGTCTTAACTCCTTCAGTGCCACTGACTGATTTTGACAGATTTTTCAATTTTTTTTGTTTTCCACTAGATGGCGCTCCTCCCCAACATGCGACGAAGTTTGGGGTCATTCTGAACGCAGAAAAGCCGACAAATACGTAATAACCATGTTACAATAACAAAAACAAGTAGTCGCCAGTGAGAAGTGTGCCAATTGGCCAAGTTGTGGAGTGATTTTTCTCGATGAGGAGAGAAGGAGAATGCGGAAGTTATTAGCCAAGAGCTAACGGGCTCAGTGCATCTGCTCCAGTGGGCGCGGTGCTACTGTCTCTGGATCTAGTGGAGATCCCGGTACCGGACCCTCACATCGCCAGCAGACAATCAAAGAAGCAATTTTCCAGCGTGTCATTGTGCCGCTAGTGCCAGTACTGGTGAGTGAGACTGACCCAGGATTTCCACCGCATACAGAATGGCTCCTATCCGGAACAGAAGCGATTTTCGGCGTACTCCAATTCCTACCAGATCCGTTTGTGAGACGAATTTGAAGCCGGTGGAAATTGACACTTTAACTTGAATGGTTACGATTAGCTACAATCAGCGGATATGGCCTTTATGTAATTATTCCGGATGCGGTGGAAATTGTCGGTGAGCCTGAATTCAGTGACAGTCCTGGCAAGAAGGATGCAAGCAGTCTGTGTGGTTTATGTCGCAGCGTCAAGTGAAATAAAATAGTCGATCAGAATTCGGCTTGAAAGTCTCTCTTTCGTAAAAATGTGTTTTTCCAGATCGGTAAAGATGATATGACCACGCTGCGTTGTGCAGGCAATAACTAAACACAGGAGTGGGTTAGAGACTCACTTTTGTTTCTGCTGAAAGAAGAGAATCACCTCCTTCTTTTGAGATACTGTACTTAATTTTAGTCCAAGCACAAGATATTCTTTGGGTCCTGAAAGATGTGGAAACTTCTGTTGCGATCAATGGTGGCACTGGGTGAGAATTGCATAAACGAACCTGGAACTGAATGAGTTAACACCTCGTCTGTAACATTAGATAAACTTTCAGCGTCAGTCTCGCTCGCTCTGAAGCGCGTTTTCATTTAAGGTATTCTGTTTCTCCATTGGGGGTGTAGGGATATTCGAGGGGGACGCATTTGTCTCCAAAAAGTGGGAAATGTCTCCCCGTGTTTCCTCCTCCTGACGGGGAGTCGAAGAAGCTCGATGGTGAAGCAGTTCTGACTTGTAGATTGAGAACAATTCCTGAATTAATGAGCCGGCGTCTAATAAACAGAGCTAACGGGGCGGCAAGACGGCAAACGCTGACTTGAATGTTGTCAGCACTTCCTGTAGTTTGTATTATTAAAAAGCAGAAAGTGGATTAACAGCATGTATTATTTATTCAGTTGTGAGAGATGATTTAGTCACTCTGCTCGGCTGTGTTATGATCTTTTCTTTTTGCGGCGCCGAACACAATCTGGTTTTCTCCTCACTTTTGCTGTTTGCGTCGTACTTCAAATTGACAAACTCAATCTCATTAGCAGAGAAACAGATGCATGCATATCATGCGGCATGCTTGAGCAGCAGCGGACACCGCTTTTTCCATTAAACTCAGCCGCTTTTCACGTATGTGTTTCGGTTTATTCATCATTCCGAAGCAAACAACCAATTATGCAAATCGCACTCAAAGCGACCCATTCAGCAGATTTCAAATGACTTTCTGCCCATCTACTTTCAGTGTCTGTTGTGCTCTTTGTGTAGTTTTGATAAATCAAGTAAAGCTACAGGCTATGCATCACTCTTTGTCGTCTGTCAGCAGGAAATGAATGGTTACGTGGAGCTTTACCCCGGGCTTTTGTATCCTGTTTCCTCCGAGGACAGCTGCCACGGGGAGAGCAGGCGGGCAGAGGTGAACAACAAAGCCAAATCAGATTGAGAGTCTCCTCGGTGAAATCCATCTGCAATATTAACATCTGATATCTGAAACATGGCTGCGCGTGTGTACGACAGCGCAGAATAGCCTTTAAATTTCCCCAGGACGTGCTTCAGAGTCTGGAGGGGTGAGTCAAGCACGGGAGGAAAAAATCAATACAAGTGCTGGGGTCTGTTGCAAATGAGGGGAGGGCGATTCTTGCAGCAGTCCACTAAAAATAGATAAAAACCAACAAAGCAGGCAGGAGCCAGGAAGCTCAGGGCCAGAATCTCCAGAGCCAGTTTTCTTGCGCCCCTCTTAGGCCCTCGAGCCCTTGACCACGCAGAGGAGGCCGACGCCAGCCGCCCGCAGTCTCCGATTCCAGTCCCTCCCCTCCACCTTATCGTCTCTTTCCACCCTCATCCTTGGAAGGTCACGCAGTCTTCATGTCCAACTCCTCTCTTTCCCTCCTCCTCCTCCTCCTTCGTGCCTCTAATCCAAGTGTCAACACTGGCCTTGGAGCACTTGTCAAACACATAGATGGAACACGCACATATGGCAAACCACACACACACACACACTTTGACACACACATACATACAGATGGATCCCTTGACAGTGCTTTCAACATAAAGTGACCAGAACATATGCCTGTCAGCGCACACTGACAGTTAAGAGCCAGACTGTGATGGGAGACAGTTGGGTCCCTCTCCTTCCAGGCACTGAATAACATCTCCATCCTAACAAGGCCGTTATTCTTTAATCGAGTCCTAAAGTGTCCCCATAACGGGAATTCGCCATATCTGCCATTTATACCCATAAGTCATCGAGGATATTTCACACAGGCGTTGTTAAATCTGGTGCTACAGATTCAATTTTCAGTGAAGTTTATAAAGCCACGCTTTCGCCAAGGAGTCACAGGGTAAACCATCGACTTTCACAACTATTGTGTGACCAAAAACAAAGAGATCTGAGCTCTTCTACTGTTATATTTTAATATCATATGGACCAATGTCACTGTTCAGCCTAGCAGATGTTTGCATGTTTATGCTGTTTTGCTCATGAGCCTCTCTGTCGTACTGATCACACTGTCCCTTGGCTTTTCAGACGCTAAAGCACATACCTGCTCCTCTCCCTGCTCTCCTCTCTACATAATCTATCGACCAGCTCTGGTAAGTGATGTCCTCAAATTAAGAAAGCTAATTACAAAGATGGACTATTAAAGGACTCAAATTGGTGATATTTGCTGCTCTCTTATAAAGCCACGCTGATGCCGAGGAGTTACAGGGTAAATGGTCGACTTTTACAACCATCGTGTTTTAAAAAACAAAGAGATCTGAGCTCTTCAATGATTATATTTTAATATCATATGGACCAATGTCACTGTAAAGCCTAACAGATGTTTGCATGTGGGGCTGGACGATATGGCCTCAAATCAATATCACGACATATTGATTAGTTCACCTCGATAACGATAAATGGATGATAACTACTCCACAAGCTGCTCACCCCCTCCCACAGTAACTTTGTCTACTTCAGCCGCTGGTCTGGTGGTCCATGCATATATACCCCATGTATGGAGACAAAGAGTCACTTCCAGCCCTGTTAGTCTGCTGAAGGTCTAAATCTCAACCATGTCAACAGGGTTTGTTCTCACTTAAGCAGTCTGTCTTGGTTCAGACCAACTAACTAAAGACTCCTGAATCCACTCCTGATATACACTCAAATATTATCACCCACACATAACCTGACAGTCTTCACCGGGACAAGGTCCAGATCCCCTCAAACAGGAACACAAACTCCTGCACACAGAGGCCTTGTGTGTCAAATTAAACTCAAACTCAGCTACTAGACCCCTCTCTGTCTCAGACTGTGGTTAACATTGCTCCAAGGTCTTGGGAACAGTTTCATGCATACATAAAAGATGAGCCCTAATGACCAGTCTCACCATTACTGCAACGTGCAATTACCATCATAATGATTCGCCATTTATTTGCTTTCACAGCAATGTGAAGAATCGGGTTTAATTAATAATTTGCTGCTGAGGAATTAATTGGAGGACGCAGTTGTCACAGCTGCGAGAGTGTCCCCTGCCTGAACTGAGGGCACAATTAGGGGATGATTGCCAGGGCTGCCATGTTGAAATGCGACCAGCTTTGAGGACCCTAAATGGAGATGAGAGCGGAGCGAGCGAGGCAGAAGTGAAACTGACAGACAAATGGAGGTGTTTGGTTTTAGCAGCCGTCACTGAGTCGTCGTCCTCCTGATGCTGCTGTGTGCTGGTCTGGGACAGGGTGAGATAATCGTGTTTTTTTAAACACTGGCAGATACGCATTAACACAGTCTCAGTCCTGTTTGCATTAGAGGAAAGCTGTTAGTGTTACTGTGGCGCTGTGATTCATGAGTGACCCTCAGCCTCTGCAAATTTGAGAAGCACATTAACACCAAAGAGGGAATATTTCCTGCGAGCACTGGCGGCCTTTTTACATTTTACATCGTCTGTCCGTGTGTCTGTTTGTTTGTCTCAAACCTCTTTGTCTGTCCCGCTCTGAAGACAGACGCTTGTGCTCTTTAAATCTGGTCCTGCACAAGATTTCTTCGTACTTAACGTATTTCAGTTTAGGGATGGGAATTGGTAAGATTTTATTGATATCGATGCCATTATTAAACGATCTCCTTATCAATGCCTTTATTTGATGTAAAAAAGTAGACAGTGGGTTTTCACCATTAACTCAAAATTTGATCGAGTCTCTGATAACAGAAGGAGATGTTTGCCACCTTCAGTGAGAGTCTACTTTGGTTGGTATTACGTCAAATTAGGGTGACTTTATTCTAGATCCCCAAAAAGAGGACACTACCTCGCGGGGCGGAGTAGTGCGCAAAATTTTGAGGGTTTTTTTTGGGTCGAATGTTTCTTTATGCGCTTTTAACTCAGTTAGTCCACAGTGCACAAACTCAACTTCCATACGAAACCCGTTGTCGTCTTTCTTAGTAAAATGAAGCCACACTTTTCATTTCTTCCCTTATTTTCGTACCATTCGCCATGTTTTTTTCCCCCAAAGTCTCTGTTTTTGTTCGCGTAGACTGGCTCTCACAAGACTGTTTTTCAAGGCGCCCGGAAGAAAGGAATCGTTAAGGGAATTGTAAAATTAAAATATAAACGATGTCGATGGATCGAACCATTTGGAAACAGTTCTCAACAAGAACCAGTTCATGATTCCTAACCCTGTTCAGCTTACACATAATGTCAAGTCTTTCTAAAGCAAACAGGCACGTTTAGATCTATCTGGATCTGACAACCTACTGCCCTCAGATAACCCGAGAAAAGTTATATTTTTAGTTGACTTTCTTAGCAAATTAACAATATTAACCAAAGTGCAATCGTTGTGTATCAAAAGAAAGTAAACTGAATTGAAAAATACAGAAAAAGAAGCTCTTTCAAAATAAAATTAAATAAAAAACTCCTCAGTACTAGTCTTTAAAGTGTAAAATCTTCAACACTAATGTGTTCATAGGTCCGATGGCAGGTTCAACAGCCGGTCCATACCGCGACCTGAGCCCGGCTTGCCATCACTGGGCTCTCCAGATCTGATCACACACAAAAAACATCATACTGAGCAGGATAACTCACCTCATTCACTTTTTCCAGAATATCTTATAATGTATAACCAACAACTGAGGATGTACTTATTAATCAATAAAATGAGTTAGCAACTATATTAAGTCATATAAGTTTGAGGATATTTCATATCATACCTCGTCTTTTACATGAAATGCTGCTTTGGCACTGATATGAATTGTTATGAATGTCTTCTTAATCTTTAGCTTCTTTAGCTCTATGAAGTTTATCACACTTTTAAGACCCGTTTCGATGCCTTTGTTGCTGCACTAAAGTGTCCGTTTCTCACTGCAGGAAATAAGATTGCAAACATGGTTCTGGGTTGACGAGGGAAAGAAAGGAGCAGCGAGTGAAAAGCTTTGATTTGAGCAGGATTAGTATTGTCAGGAGGACGTCTGTCAACACTCAAGTATTAGAGATCATTTTCTTTTTTCCACATTCAAACAGGATTAAACTTATTGTTCTTGATTATCATAAATTAGCAGATGTCCCTCGGTAACATGTAAGCTCTGCTCAAAAACACACACACACACACACTTTTATAAAGTATTACAGCCTCGTAATGTTTGTGTATTAGTGTGTTAAAGACAGTTCCTTATTACTCACACCTTCAGCAAACAAAAACACAGCATGAATCAGTCATTTCTCATCCCTCCTGGCAGATGTAATTCAGTATTTAAGCTGGTTTTAGCCCTGTTCAGTGTCCACCAACTCCAGAGAGAAATCAGGCTTTATAATGGAGGAACAAGCCTCTCTTGTTGTAAACTGTGTCTGTCTGTTTGTGTTGGAGGAGAAACTGCCCACCTGAGTATTTTTCTCTTTGTCCCCTGACATCTGCATGACAAACACTGCTTTTACCTTACACTCAAATGTCAACCCGAATGTGGCGATCGCACTACCAGAGACAGCTTTAGACCGCCGTGGAGTCGGCTTTTAGAGAAGAGCTGAAATGTTCTGCTTTAGGTGGCAGCAGGGTTTCAGGATTCATGGAAAGTATAAAATACTAAAAAACTGAAAACGCAGAGTGAATAATAAAAATACAGAGCTGAATATCAGACTGTTTTTGCTTAAATACACGTGGAAAATTGTGATTATTTCACACGCAGGAAGGAGTTTGGTGCTTAAACTGGATAATAGATCGAAATAACGTCGAAATTATAATAACAAACATCATTTTTCTTCACGGTGAAGCAGTTATAGAATATTTCATGTCTGGAAACACAAATAAATTATCACATTATATAATGTATTTCTGTACCTGTCTGGTGTGACAGCAGGTGAACACTGACAGGCTGTCTCACTCTGCATAACTGAATAAATAATGAAGTCGTCTAAAAATCTGCTTAAATTTAATGTGTTGGGTTTTATCGTCCGTGTTTTCCTGTTTTATTGCTGGTAAATGAAGGTATGAGACATTCAGCTACACCTGTCGAGAGTTTATGTCCAAATGTTTTTCTTTATCGCTGGAATTTTAACGCCAAATCAGCCGCCAGAATAAAAGTCAACTATAAACTCAGCAGAAGGCACCTGTTCCTGTCATGATAGGTTCTTATTAGTTTAGTTTCTTCCTCTGTTTGTGAGTTAGTTTTATTTTCACTCATGCTTCTGTTTCCTTGTGTTCATTATTATTATGCTCCTGTTGTTCATGTTTCGTCCCTGTTCAGTTTTCAGTGTTTTATTTTGTAGGAGTCAATCCTTAGTTTCCCTCCTTTGTTAAATACTCGGGAGTCTCACCTGTTGGATGTATCTAGTCCCTGTTTTATCCTTCTTCTTCGTTGGTTTGCGGTCTATGTTTTGTCAACGTCTTGTGGACTCCCAGTATTTTTTGGTTTTGCAGTTGTTCTTAGACTTGTGTTTTTGCTTTTATTTTTTTGTTGTTTTTTTTACTTTGAAACTCTTGTCTATAAAATCTTTAGTTTTTGAGTCTACATTTGGGTACTTTCTTTTGTAAAAACTGCTCTGGAATAGTTTTGATATAAAGAAGACTGTTTCTTTACAGATGCAACAACCCAAAACATCTGAAAGAAACCCCTGATATAGAAAAACCTACTGTAAACTGAGCCGTAGTTGACTTTAAGTAATTAATTTCATCAATCAGATCTCATTTTTCTCAATAATTGCAGGATAATTGTTCTCCTCTGTCTCACTTTGTCTCTCTCTGTATTTAAAAAACCCTTAAGGGTAACTTGAAACTGACGCAGGCTTCAATATTTAAAGACCTGAGAGAGCGCTTAAAACCACACAGATGAGAACTGTGGGTTTAACGAAAATACGTAGACTTTGGTGCAACTAAACCCAAACAGACAGATGCTATAAAACTCAGTTTTCACTTAAAACCCACATTTTATTGATTAACCCAGTGTAGCAGTCTGTTACTGATGTCAAGATAGTTTTCCTTATTTGTCATATAAAGGTTTATGTTTATGATTAAATAAACTCTCTTGCTCATGTTTGTGCCTCTCTGCAGAGTCTACTGTTCTTTATTATCTGTATGACCAAGATATGAGCAGACCTCTCACCTGCTCATCAAACATGCTAAGCTGCGATACAAAGTCATTAGAGGTGTTCTTACTTTGAAACTAGGGCTGCAGTGGTTTCTTTTGAGAGATGACAGCACCAAACATCTTTTTAACTTTGCTTGATTTCTTAAAGAGACTAAACACAACTCACCTACTCTCTTCCAGCAGCCGCTTGTTTGTAGCGAGACCTTGACCAGTCCGTTATGGACTACAGCGGGGTGACGCAGCTCAAGGAAGAACATTTATGATTGTTTCTTTATCATTTCCTTGAAGTAAACATCACCATATTAATCATTTTTCTCTGCAGACATGGTAGTTCTTCTGCCTTAGCGTCTCGGTCTGATTGTATTTCCATGAAGAAATGATCATAAATGTTCTTCCTTGAGCTGTGTCACCCCGCTGTAGTCCATAATGGACTGGTCAAGGTCTCGCTACAAACAAGCGGCTGCTGGAAGAGAGTAGGTGAGTTGTGTTTAGTCTCTTTGCTAAAGAAATGAGTCAAAGTTAAAAAGATGTTTGGTGTCTAGTACTATGTCTGTGACCCTATATGTCCTGTTGATGAAGTTAGGTGCTGTTCTGAGCATTATTTGTGGCTATAGAGTGGCGTTTTGGTTGAGGGCGTGTCTCTCTGTATTTCTATCCTGTGGTCGTTACTAAAGTTGGTATAACTAGAGAAGCAAGCGGTCGGCAACATTCATCTCTGGAGGGGGTGTCTAACTCTGTGTTGCGATGTGTTTGACCCTAAATTAGTTTTACACCATAATATCCCTTTAGAATGAAGTTTGGTGAAGCTGTCACTGAAAAAAAAAAATCGAAAATCTGGATTTTATTTTTGGCCAAAATCCTGCAGCCATATTTGCAACTAAAATAAAACTTATGTAGAGGGTCTTAAACATAGCGTACATCCACCTCTTCTACACATCTCTGCTTTAAGTGACTGTTTCATAAAGCTAACATGACCAGGATGACCTCCTGTTGCAGATGACTGATTGTGTCCGCCACAAGCTGCAGAGTCACACAATATTCTGCATCACATCAAACAATCACAACAAAAATAAGCAAAAGCCCAATCCAATTGGTATTAAAAGCAAACAGAAAGCAGGCAGATTGTGTCCACCTGCTGCTGTGTGGCGGTCACCGACCTCGGCACAGTCAAACACAGAGGTAATAACCAGGCTGGATCCCCGGAGGTCTCCCCTCTGCCCTTTAATCCATGTGAGAGCAGCTGGACCTCTGCAGAGAAGATGAATAACCACAACACTCCGATTCAACACTCTCACAGGGGTCTCGTGTCGAGATCACACACCGGCAGACTTCCTGTTTATTACACGGGCGACCCGGGACTCCAAAGAGAAAAAAGAGGGAAGGGAGGAAAGGTGTCAAAGAGTGGGATGAGAGGTTCAGGGGTGGAAATGTTTGGACAGAGACCAGACCGTTTAAGATTGGTGGTCAGAATGAGCAGCAGGAGTCACGTCAGCCTCTCTTCGCTGGTTGTTTGTTTGCACCGCTGGTCCGAGGCAGATACACTCTTGAAGAAGGGATTATGCACCTTTCCAAAGTCTCCCCTGTGATCCTTAAAGAGGACAACAAACACCTGAGGCACACAACGCTGACTTAAGACGCAGCCTCCCTCATTTACATCCCTCACAAGTTCCTGTTTTACTCAAGGTCGGACATCTGCCCACAGGGGAGTCAAAGAGTCTAAGATCTCCTCGAAAATAAGGTTTGAAGGCCCAGATCTGAGGAGCGACATTTTTAAACCACACTCTGGGAACGGAGGAGGTCTGAAAGTCAAAGTTGTCCCTTTTCTCGCTTGATTCAGATTTCAGCTGCTCAGCAGTTGTTGTTTTTCGTTCTTGTTTCCATGATGCACCAAACGTTTCTCTACAAGATAAGTCAGGTGTTCAATAGGGATGGGAATTGATAAGATTTTCTCAATATCGATGCCATTATCTATTCCCTTATCAATGCCTTTCTTTAAGTTTCTGACATGCATTGTGTTTATGTTAACACAGGACACATGTTAGGGTGACTATATTCTGAATCCCCAAAAAGAGGACACTACTACGCGGGGCGGACTTGCGTGCAAAATTTTGCAGGTTCTTTTGGTCGGGTTGAGTGTTTTTCATGCCCTTGTAACTCAGTTAAACACATACTCTGAATTCTTAAAGAAAGTGCAAGCGTGCGTCACGTCATCAGCTTTGCTTAGAAGTGAGCGGAGGGCGGAGCTGCAGAGAGCACTGATGCTCTGCACTGTTTTATAATGAATGAATACAGGTTCTGGACACTTAAGGATTTGATAAACTCCCCTGGACCACCCCCCAAAAGAGGACATGTGCGGGTAAAAGAGGACGTATCACCCTAACATTCGTTCCTTCCATGCCGTGCTGAGACAGAGCAGCAGTGGCTGACGACAGGCGGAGAGCATCGAATACATGTGACACATACTAGCTCGTTTCTGCTGACTTTTCTCACCATACCGTTTTTTTCTCTGTCTGTTCCCGTTCCCGTAGACTGGCACTCGCGAGACTGTTTTTCAAGACACCAGGAAGGAAGGAATCATTAAAGTAAAATGTAAATGATGTCGATGGATTGAACCATTTGGAACCGGTTCTCAACAAGAACCGGTTCTCGATTCCCTAGTGTTGCATTTTTGGTGCAAACTCTGGGCACTTTTCCTCCCTCATGGAATCACAGATGCTGGACTTTGATCCGCGCTCTGACAGTTCATTTGTTTTTCATTTACTCGTTCTCTCTGCAGCGTCCGTGAATTCCAGGAGGAGTGTCAGATTTTAACTCAAAAGTCTACATGATAGTTTTCTACTTTCCTGCAGTCCATCATAGATGTGCTACTTGAAATGACTTCCACTAACAGTCTCTGGGGCTCCTCTGTGTGCTTGATTAGATAGACATGAAAAGACGATGTTCCTGTTGGAGGCAGAGACACTCGTGTTGAGGGTAAAACAATGTGGTGATTTGTCCAACACTAACTTATAAAATCATCTTTACTCCCTCTCATTAAGATTCCTCCCGTGTCGACACATCTGTTGCTCTTGTAATTTCTCTGATGTTTCCCTTCAAGCAGCCGAGCTTATGGATCACGGAGAGGACGCTGATCCAAACAGCTTCAGAAACAATCAAGAGAGTGCACTCAGCTGTTTTTTTTTTTTCCTTCCTGTCGAGTCGTCGGAGGTGAAGTAGCCGTCTGTGCACTCTACTCAGCATCAAATTAAGGTAAAAGTAAGTGGCCGGGCTCTGATTCAATTTTGACAGAAGGAGTGGAGCCACATTCATTACATTTCCAAATCTTTTTTAACCTCAGAGTGTCCCCGCTGGAACGCGATGTTCAATAAAGTCTCACATTAGCGACCTGTCTGCGCGGGGTGAAGTATGAGTGCGCCGCCGGAGAACAATGGCTTTCCAGACAGCATTGTCCTTCTGCTTTATGACGGAGAAAAACATGATCAGCTGTTTTCATTTTCAGGAGGATGAATCATAAAGGGGACCAACCGGGCAAACCATCAACATAAACAGACGAATTCAGAATGTGTCCCTCTAACTGCTGATAATGCCCCCTAGAGGCCAAAAAAGGCGCCGTAACTAGTTTGTTCCATTTAAGATAAGGTACTTTTTTGGAACCAAAGTCTTTCCTGATTGCATGAAAATGACACAAAGAATCAATCAGCTGAACAGGAGCTTTGCTGCAGACGTCATTAAACCATTTAGTTCATTTTTAAGCACCAACGCTATAATCACAGGAAACCTTCCAAACGGACCGTAGGACCATAACCGCCGTTCTTCTGGGAGCGGAAATTTAATTTCATGTCATTTTCTGTCATTTTAGGCTCTTATCTCCTGAGGGGTCTAACTGCAAAACTCCACTGAGCGGACTGAAAGTTGGGTCAAAGCCTTTCAAAATAAAAGCGAATATACTGGAAGTGCGTCAAAAGTTGACTCAAAGCTATTCAAATAAAAGCAAACTGGAGGTATGATTTTTTTTTTTACTTATGTTGGAAGTTGATTTGAACCCCCGAAATTATGTTGTTGTTGTTGTTTTTTAATGTTAGAAGTTGATTCAAAGCCTTTCAAAATAAAAGCAATTAGACTGGGAAGTACATATTTTTTGTCACGTGTGAATACATTTTATTTCTTGGGGCTTTATTTTATGTTGATAACATTAATATTATTTCTTGTGTATTTATGTGTTCAACAGAGACAAAATACTAAACAGGATGACCACTTTGAGGGTTATTCTACAGATAAAAAATACAAACTTAATGATCAGCTATTGGTATGATCACTCAAAAACATTAATTTATGTACTGGTATTTTGAATTAAACCGCAAAACAGACAGCTGTTAGTTTAGTTTAGTTTGCACTACAAATCCATTTAAAACAATAAATCTCTGTTAAAACACCTTAATATGTGTGATAGCATAATGTATCTACACTCTAACTGCTGACTGTTCTTTGCTTTTACACCATTTATCATTGAAAATGTCGCCTCCTGCACTCTTGGACTCATTTACATATCTCTAAACTATCTTCACGGTTAAAACAAACTGGAGCGCGTGAGGAAAAATGACGCCTCGGGTCCTCTCAGAGGAGGTCTGCAGCCAGACTGTCTTACTTATCTCTCTCTTTCTCTCTTGCCATAGTCTCTCTTGCTTTGCTTTAAAAATCACAATTATCAGTTTTTATCCATTATTTGTTTTTGTAACAGACAAAGGAGATCGAAGGTTAGAGGGTCCGCAGAAAGTCTCAGAATTAATTTAAACTTATTTAACAGATTAAAACCTAATTCTAAAATAGTTCAGATGTTACTGTCATTGTCCTGTTGTGATATGAAGGTCATACTACGTTCACACAGAGCGGTTTCTGGTGGGAGTTTTGAGCCCATGGAGAGACCACCACTACACAGTCATATCTGTTTTTTAACAGAGGGACCAACGATCTCTCAAACAGCTTTTCTGGTGTTATGTTGTAAATTATTCAGGTTAATTCTACATGACTTTTAGATCAATTTAACCTCCTTCAGCTCTTCATGATCAAGCCCGCATTGACTGTCTCGACGACGGAGCCGAGAAAATGTAATTGGATGCAAAGCTGATCTCGCTACATTAACTGGTAAAAAGCTTCTATTACACTATTTAATGCAACAGCAGCCAAGCTCGATGATTTGAGTGTTAAATGCACGCTCATAAATGACTGAAACTTATTAATTTAAAGGGGAAATTCAAGCAAAAGAGAACACAAAGACAACATCTCCAACTAAACGCCCGCTGATGTGAAGTGAGGCGTTCGACGCTTCCTGTTTCCACCGGTCAGTGATGGATGGAAGGAAACAGATTGCTTCAGCCCAAACAGATTCATCCAAGAGTGTTGTGACATCTACTTCTAATGGCATCTGCGCTCCATGAGAATCAAACCTAACTCTGCCTGACAGAAACAGATGTCTCCGTTGTGCCTGTATGACTCCGGCTCCCTGGGCTCCACTGTAATGCAGGGATGAAAAAGGGAAGCTTTGTTTTACAGGTACTCACTGAAACATTCAGGGACTTCTGCTCTGATCCGCCGGCTGCTCACAGGAGGAACAGCTGACTGCTTCTATCTGGTACAAAGGGGGTTAACGTCTAAATCCAATATTCTTTGTCTAATATTCTGCAGCAAACAGTCGCACAGCCATTACAGGAGCGTCGGAGACAGATGGTCTGAAATAATCATTACCTCGAAAATTAAAACATCGGTTTTTCAGACCGGGTCTCACGAGAGAATAAAACCGTGTTTGTCCATGAGATTACCTGTCAAAGTGGAGCCTATATTATAAAACAAACTTTTAAAATGAGACTTTTCTATAATGTACGTCTCCGTTTTTTCTGTTGTCTCAGATGAAAACTCCCCACACTTTCAGGACATTTATTCAGAAAATTGAAATGTACAGTAGAGCTGAAAGTTATATTCTTCATCTGAATGACTATTTTTCAGGCCTTTTGTCGACAACACAAGATCTTACAAGAGATTTAACCTTAACACTTAAAATACAACGTATTTCATTACTGTTTGTTTTAATGATGTAAGGTGACCTCAAGTGTCAAGAAAGTGGCACCTATAGATAAAATGAAAAATATATATACACACATGTATTAACAGCAAAGTGGTGAACCCAAATGTCCATGCTAACTATCACAGAAGGGCGGGGATGTGGTATGAAGTGCAGTGAGTGTTGGGCAGTATGAACAAAATCTTATTTCACGGTCTGAGTAATTTCATATCACAGTAACAGTTTATGTCACACTATGTTTTTTCCCTGTAAATTCAATTAATGGCTTAAAAATAACCAAACTGTTTTGGTCATTTTCCTTTTATTTTTAAACTCAGATTTGTAAACAAATACGAACAAACTGTCAGACCAGTCTGGCGTTTTTTCATCATATGGCGTAACTTTGGTGAAAGACTCTGCCGAGCTCTTTACTCTGAGAGGAGCTGCTGCAGTTTTAGTTTTTGGTGCAGCAGGTGCGGCACGCATCATTCGGCTCTCATAATAGAGTTTGGCGAGTTTCATCTTTAGGTGGTGGAGGAGGTTGTTGGTGTTTCCGACAGCCACACGAAACTCTATGTATAGTATCATTTTATGATCATTGGCGGATTTTCTAAATCCGAAGAATCTCCAGACAACCGATGTTGCGACTCGCGCCCTTTTTCGGAACAAGTTCCTCCTCGGGTGGGTCGGGCTGCCTCCGTTTGCTCGGTACTTTCTCTGTGCCCGCCATGACCACCACCAGTGAAGCTGTTTCTTCTTCCAAGCAGTCTGCTGGACACGCTGGTGATTATAGGGAGCGCACCCAAACCTGACCAATCAAACGGAGTAAACAAACTCCTCACGACACGCTGGTGAATATACAAAAACGCACCCAAACGTTCGTGCTCCGGCTTTCCTTTTAGTGAGCGCAGACAACTCCACACTGACTCAGAGAGACGCAGCGGACATCTGTTCACTCTCTTGGTATAAATGGTACTTTTATACCGTCATACCCCCCAACATGATTATACACTTGTATTAACAGCCAAGCAGTGACCCCAAAAGTCCATGCTAACTATCACAGAAGGTCGTGGACGCAGCATTAAGAGCAATCAAGTCTGATTACATACTTCAGATAAGTTCAACACAGCTGATTAAACATAAATGTTTTTTAAATGTGCTGAACAAATAATGTGGATTGAATCAGATTTCACCTGCATCATCCAGCATCTAAATCTAAGAGTTTTACCGAGTGTTAAAAAAGGCTTTATCGTTGTTCCTCTGATGCATTTGAACACATTTCTCCTCCTGTCATGTGGAGCTGAGAGGTCACGGCCAGTTCACACATTTCTGAGAGAACAGGTTGTCTGATTTGCACTTCACAGAAAGCACAGCTGAGGCTAAGGTTGAATTAAACTCTGTGTGTTTGACAGGTTCAAACTCTGATCTGACAGTGACACCAGAGAAAGTCACAAAAGTTAAACGTCATCCTGAGGGAAACATGAGCGTCTGTGATTCGGTCGGTGGTGAGACATCAAATCGGGGTTGAGTTATTTTACTCTGGACCAAAGTGGAGGCAGTGGCGTTGCCTGGAGCGATGCTGCTAGCACGGATGAAATACAGATCAAATCTTTCGGACTCGTGACATCCTTTAACTTCGACTAACAACCTGATCATCACCCTCCAAAACTTGACGCTGGGATTCAAAACTGCTCCGTAGATTCATTTTCGTCACGTTTTCGATGCTCATGAACGGTAAATCTCTGTTTGTGCATGCACTGATATTTGGCAGTCATCATTTCCTCTCGTGATGAACCTCCACACAAAGATAAACACATTATTTTGAGGGAAATTCAGGAGTAAATTAGTTTAAAGCAATTTTCACTTTGATGCTATGTACTCACACATCCGCCTTGATTCATACCGCAGACCTCTTTACAGCAAACACAATCCTCTGGGGAAGAGGTGATAATAGAAAATGAAAATAAGACTTTGGAAGTAATGTCCTTTCGCATCCTGGAAACTCATTTAAAGTAAAAACCATTTCCATCCTCAGCGTAAACCTCAATATGTCTTCTGTGAGTCTGGCAGAAACTTCAGCTGCACGTCATCCACACTGAATATCCGACTTTCTCTTGACCGCAAGACCGATTCTGAAAATCCTGCAGCTGTTAAAGAGCAAAGGTCACCTTGATTGTCTACTGACTATTCCAGGAACCACATTTCCCCAAAAACTACTCATCACATGCAACTTAGTTTTTAAGATTTATTCTCAAGTTTGAAAAACAAATCGATTTTTGAACAAAAAAATCGATTTAAAAATTGCAAAACAAATAAATTCTGATACTTATGTTAAATCGATTTTTTCTCCCACCCCAACCATATAACCAAAAATATAAGGAAAATTAAAAATATGGGTGTTGAATTAATGTGAGAGTTAGCTAACTAAGACTGTATACACTGTGGTCGAGTCTAACGAAGGCTAATGTTACTGTTAGCTTGTTAAAAGCTTTATAATCAAGCGTCGCTTCGACAAAGATGGCAGCGTCCACCACCTGAGAGTCCGGGATTTGCACGAAACCCTTAGAGGTCATACCGTCAAAACTGATGTGATGATAGGTACTGTTCTTTGTAAATGAAAGCCAATCAAAAGGAGAAGTTTTTTTCTCTCTGTGGCTCTGAAATCAGAAACGTCAGAGCAGGTTTTAATGTCATTTTTCAGCCACACGCGCCTGCAGTCTTTCTGCTGCTGCGGCTGGAAGTGACATTTGGAAATGGGCAGAGAGGAGCAGAGGATAAAATCTGCAGATCGAAGTCAGTCTGCTGTGAAGGACTGCAGAGGAAGAGTGTTACAGCAGGTGTCGATGATCAATGCTTTAGCTTCCAGCAACCGGCTCGGAGGAAAAGGTTTGAACCGGGAATCAGACTCATTCTTTAATCCCTCAAATAAATGACCAGCGATTTGTCTTTGAACAACACTCAAGACCCAATTCTGTCCAGAGGAATTACTCTGCAGGCTGGCAGCTGAATACTGAGGCTGCTGCAGGCAAATCCCAGGTGTTGATACACAACAACACTGTGTGGGTGAGTGTGTGTTTGCTGTGGTATCAATCAAGACTAGAGGACAGGTCCGACAAAACAAACAAACAAAACAACTAAAGTAGAGCCGTCCTGACCTCGCAGTCAAATGAGTAAACTGTAAAAACAGGCCTGTTCTGACTTTTGAACCGTCCTCCATCTCCTCACCTGTCTTTCCCTCTTTGTTACAGACTGGATGGGGTTGAGTCACGTCTCTGACGTAGGACAGCGTCTTAAAGGGACATGAGACCACAGCCTACCTACACACATCCAAAAACAACTTTGATTTATTTGACACTGAATATTCTGACACGGGCAAAATGACGCAAGTTATTCTCATAAATTTTGGTATTGGTAAATTTTCAGTTTATCGCCCAGCCCTATCAGCTAGTGTTATTCGCTGTGAGCTATCATAAAAAGGTACGAATATTAACTTCAGTTGGTTTCAAATATGTTAAGAAAACTCCCTACAGGAGCTTTAATAGTGATGATAACAAGCTTCATGTAGGCTGAGCTGCCTTTAAAGTAAAGACGAATAAATAAGTTAATGCTTAAAAGTGATCTGAATAAGTTTACAGAGTTTTAGAAAACTTCTTTCATTGTTTGCATGTCTTTGTGGTGATTGCTGCCACCTACTGGCCATGATCAGGCATTTCTCTCAGCTGGTGCAGGATTCACGTTCTCACTTTATGCTTTTCTGATATGTTTAAGCCTCTTGGACCATCTGCCTCTAAAATAACATATGTTTATAATTACAAACCCTCTCAATTAGAAGTGTTTTTTTTATTATGATTCTTTTATTTTAACATTTCATCTTCTGTGTGTTTTAACTTATTTTACTGCAGCACTTGGCTAAACTTTATTGTTTTTTTAATTGTGCTATATAAATAAAGTGGACTGGATCGGAACTTTCTCACTATGTTATCATCGTAACTTAAAGCCGTGTTTTTATAAGATTTAGATTTGCTTCATGACACAGTATTTGGGTAACACTGTTAGTTTTTAATGATAAATCTGTTTTACAAAGAATCAAAAGTTAAAATTAAAGAAACTTTTGCAAAGACAGAGAAAAGTGGAGCCTTCAGTTTTAACCGTGCAGACGTTGAGGTTTATTTTTGTACCATAAACATGTTTTTGTACTTTAATAATGTTTTCTATGCATGTGACATGAGTGAAGATTAACATATAAACACATTCAGGCAAATACGCATCCATAAATCTGTTGTAGCTGAAAAACGAGCAGAATGTAAAGCAGCTTCATCCAAATCAGAAAAAAAGTGTGAAGCAATATTTCAAAATTTTCCTTCAATTTCTCATTCTTGGTTTCATTCTGTTTTGTTTTCGGCCCTTAAATCAATCTCTGCTTTGCTCCGCAGAATATTGAAAATCCATTTAGTCACACAGACATTCAGAAATGGAGAAAAAGCTCCTACCGGCCCCACTACCCCTTACTGTACCTCTTTTTGATTAAAGACGAGAAACCGAATTTTGAATTATCTCCACAAAGAGCTGATGCAGAAAGCGTAACGTGATTTCTTTGACAGCTGAATCTGCATGCAGAGAGATAAAGCACGCGGAGAAAACACTGTTTAGTTCTGTCAGGATCATTTATTCCTCTAAAAAAACCTCCTTTTCTGCAGAGTCAGAGTCCTCTCTAATAACAGCATGTCAAGTAAAAGCAGGCTGTAATCACTGCATTCACCAAAGGTCACTCCGGGTCATTGGATATTAAGCTCCATCAATGTGCTTCATCTTCAGGCATTATTCAGATTCAGATTGAGGTTTAATAGGTCTGATGTAGCTGCACGTCTCTCTCCAATCATCATCTTTTCTTCCGGGCTCTTATTTTATTTCAAAGTGGACCGAGAAAACCTTTTTATCTCTGTTTGTCTTTTTCCTGCAGGTCCGCTTCCAAGCAGAAATGTTTTCCTCATTTTTCAGGTCGAGTTTTTTTCCCCCTCCCAGCTGCTCTTCAAAACATTTCTAATCTAATTTCCCCCTCTTCTTTTTACAATCCTCATTATTGTCCTATGATGTATCAGGGATGGGGCTCCACACCTTCCCCTCTGAAAAGCTCTTTATTCATTCAGCAAAGTGCCGCCCCCACCCCGCCCGCACTTTCCCACTGACTCAGCAAGACGGCGTGAAATAACAGTGCTTCAATTTGGACGGCTCCTCCAATAACCAGATAGAGTTCAAAGGGTGCTTAATCTCACCTGTCAGTCAAAGCCGGCCGGGAAGGAGGAGGAGGAGGAGGAACCGACGTGAACGAGGAACAAAACGGCGTCTGGATGTGTGTGTGTGTGAGGGAGAGCGGCGCCGAGGTGAGCTGGAGGTCTTTGATTACTTTTCCCCGCTGACGTACTCTGTGTGGATCCAGCGTCCTCTTTAGTGACAGCTGAGTTATCTGCTGGATTCATCCCCGTAGTTAGTCCTCTGTCCATCACCCTCTGCTGCAAAAACAACAAAAGTCGTTTTGTTTCATGGCTCTCTCTGCAGACGATGTTTTTGTGTCTTTATTTTGTTTTTTTTTTCACATCACTGTCATATCAGATTACTTGTTTTTGTAGAATCCAAGGAAGGGAAGGGGATTGTCAATTTTCATCAATACTGACGCCATTATAGAGACTCCCTGTCGAGACCGTTATCAAATCTTCGATATAGTGTGTAACTCCTCAACCACTTTTGTCAACAACCCTACTGATGATGAAACGATGTATGATTGGCTGGAAGTTGGTCCAGATGACGTAGGGATTGTAGTTTTTTGGACAAATTTTACGAAACAATCTATCGCTACTTTAGGGTGACCATATTCTGAATCCCCAAAAAGTGGACACGACCACGCGGGGGCGGAGTCACTGAAGTTAAAGTTATTTTTATTTTATGTTTAATGTCTCATTTTATGTTGTAGGGTTCTTGTATTTTCTGGGTTTCTTATGATGTAATTGTCCTTCATTCGGAGGTTTTTTTTTTAACTGAGCTTTTGTTTTTTATTTGGTTTTATTTCCATGTGACTTTACGACTGTTTGTCAAAACACTTTGTAAACCTCTGTTTTTAAAAGTGCTACAGAAATAAAGTTAATATTCTTATTATTATTACAAATTTTAAGAGTTTTTCAGGTCGGTTTCAGTGTCTTTTATGCGCTTCTAACTCAGTAAGTCCACGTGACACAAACTCAAAACTTCCATACAAAACCACGAATATTTGAAGGATTTTATAAACTTCCCCGGACAAGTCCAGACAAGCCGGACAGCCCCCAAAAAAGAGGACACGCCCAGGTAAAAGAGGACGTATGGTCACCCTAGCTACCTTCTCTTTCAGGTCGCCAAAGGAAATGTGGAATAAAAGCAAAACTATCTATTGATAAACGGAGATCCTGAGTACAACTTTTTTCTTTTTTCTTTAGAAAATTTAACATTTACAGTTAAATTCATCTGAGAATTACAGTAAGTCTCTGTTTTATATGGAGAGAAAATTTGAAGGTCAGTTGAGTGAACAAACAGAAATAAAGAAAACAGCGAGGAGCTTTTAACCGAGCACATTTGACTCGTTAAATAGTCTGTTCGAGTGGACGCCGTAGTGTGACGTCTTCATCAAGCGCTGGGCCCTGAGCCGATGTGACGGCCCGAACACATCTGGTACCTACACCAACCAGGATCAGACTAAAACTGGACTTAACACATTAGTCTGACTGAAATCGTATTAAATCAACCTTCTCAGAGTCAGACTGACACACAGAGGATCTGTTTTCTCTTTCATGGATCAGCTCAGTGGAACTGAAACTGGCCTGAAGGTTTTACGGCACGTTAAACAGCACAAATGCGTTGCTAGGAAACCGGGCAGTAAACAAAGTAATAATATAAAAATGAAACTTTCCTATCGAACAAACGGTCGAGTGTTTTAGCGTTTGACCTACATCCCATCAACCTTTGACTAATGGGCTTCATCAATCATTTCGATTCCACAAAGGTCAACGCCTAAAAGACGGCATTGCGCCACCTACTGTTGCTAAAGTAGACATGCTTCTGTCAATGATTGGATTTTTAAACGAGGACACAGATAAAAGTCCAGGTAAGTTAAATAATCAAACTGAGACGGTAGCTCGACCGAAATATGCATGTCAGCAAACTGAGCGTCAAATAGGTGACTCTGTTCAGATCAGACAGTTCTGAAGGAGGAGCTGGTAAAAACAGGCTGAAGCCGTTTAAATAAACAACCTTATCTTCTCTATTCTCGCTTAATTCAACCCTCTTTTACATCTGAAAATATCTTCGAGTGCTAAAACAAGAAGAAAAGTTTCCAACCTTAAACAAACTAAAGCCTGATCGGTCTTAAAAAGAAAGAAACCGTTTCAACAGGAGAAGCAGAGACTGTAAATAAGAGATAATAAACTGACAGACAAAGGGGTGGGCTTTCTCTTCGGGGTCACGGATGGATTGTAAATAAACAGGAGGCTTTTAATGAGCATAAAGAATCCATTAAACTGTACATCCTTCTGTTATTAACAACAGTTCATCCATTATCTGAACAGGCAGCTTGTTTAAAGGAGATGTTTCAGCTTTTCAGTCATAAAATACGTCTTTAACCTTCAGTTAAGTGAAGAGAGCTCCGTTAGTTCCAGGAAAAACCACATAAATAAGTATCTGATTCGTCTTTTTAAATATAACTCAAAGCAAAGTGACGAAGGCGATCGCAGAAACCGCTGAAGACAACGTATTAAAGCAGCACATCTCAGCTTTACCTTGATTAATGCAAAGATTACAGAGAAGTGCTTAATGGAAACCACATCAATAAGCAATCCCAACACTACTTTATTCATTTGTTTACGCTCTTCAACAGGGTTAGCATCTTTCTTTAAGAGCCCATCTTCAAAACAGCCAAGATGGCAGCGTGAGCCGCAGGAGGGTCTGTAGAAATCTGGTTTTGGGGACCTAGAGGCTCCTCTTGGCTCTTCATATGCAACTGTAGCTACTAGGGCTGGGCGATATGGCCTCAAATCAATATCATGATATATTGATCAGTTCATCTCGATAACGATAAATGGACGATAACTACTCCACAAGCTGCTCAGCCCCTCCCACATTAACTTCGTCTACTTCAGCCGCTCCAACTTTCTCTCCGTCCTCCATCTCCTCACCTGTCTTTCCCTCTTTGTTACGGACTGGATGGGGTGGAGTCACGTCTCTGACGTAGGACAGCGTCTTAAAGGGACATGAGACCATAGCCTACCTACACACATCCAAAAACAACTTTGATTTATTGATTGTTTGACACTGAAAAACCAATATGGGCAAAATGACGTCAGTTATTGTCGTAAATTTCGGTACTGGTAAATTTTCGTTTTATCGCCCAAACCCAGTAGATTCCGTCCATCCCTAAAAAACAGACAAAAGTAAATAGTCACCAAGTAGGGCTAGGCGATAAATAATTATTCATGATTTATCATCAGAAATATCCTCCATGATAAATATTTCCTATCTCACGATAAATGCTGTAAACACAAGTTGCCATTAGCATTAAAGTTTTAACCTTTAATGCTAATGTCACGACCTCACTGCACAATATCCTGAGTGACGGAGCAGCGTAAGCTTTCATTGTTGTCAGAGCGACACGTACGCGGTGGACTTTTGGCGGTAAAGATGATGTCAGCGTTGTGTGGTGAAGTAATAATTCAGCTGAAATTGTCCCCGAACGACCTCCTCGTCGATACGACTGTGTCACTGTACCATTAAAGTAAAAACCCACAAACTCCAGCTGGAAGCCTGAAGTCTCCTCTAATGGACGGCCCTTTATTAAGTCGAGAGTCGACTCTGCATTAACAGAGCTGTACCTTTGTCTCTGTGTGAGCCTCCACTCCTTAAGTCCCATCATTCCTTGCTGTTGCAGTCTGATAAATCAGGGCACCTAATCAGAGTATAAATATTCATGAGTTCAGCTCTGAGTGCTTCTGAAGGTGTAACTCTTCACAAGAGCTCCAGCACTCAGCCTCCAGTGTGCCACAAATCCTGCAGCACCCCGCTAAAGTTGAGAGGTGAGGAAGAGGAGAGCGTGTGCGGTTGATTTGACCCTTTTAGCATTTAAAGCAACTTTCTTAGCCTAAACCCTTTTCTCTTTTAAAAAACTCTCTCCAGCATATTTTTCCGCTCATTCATTCCCAGATTGAAATATGAGGTGTCAAAAACGTGAACAATTATGGAAAATCATAAATTTGTGACCAATTTGGGGAAGGGAATGAGGCTGTCAGCGCCGAGAGATGTATGCGTTTTCAATTTGGCGTTTCTTTGAAGCCTGCCAGCTCCCCTCGCCGTGCCGTTAAACTGCCATTTCTCCTTGTACTAATTGAACGCTCCCCCCTCCGTTCTCGGCCCGCACCATCATGTAATGCTCATCTATCATTGTTTGTTGGGAGCCAGTGTGGTTGTCCTTTCCACTGACTTTGAGAGAGCACTTCATCTTATTTGTTTGTTCCCTGACATGGGAATGATGCACTCGACCAGGCCGGCCATTTAGAAGCTGGGTAGCGTTCAAGAACAGCCTCCTTTATCATCCTTCTGTTACCCAACGCCGTGGCTTTGTGAAGCCGCCGCACACTGAGGTCATTCGTCATTTGTAAAGTAAAACTATTTACCATTGGCATCTAATTTACTTAATAGATAAGCTGCAGAAACAGAGCTCCAGAGTGGCACAGGCGTGTGATGCATTAAGGGCTGGAAATGGACGCTTTTCTCTTCAGCTATTTGTATTAGAGGCATTTTAAAGAAAACAGACTAATTCATCTGCGGCAGGTGTCAGTGAAGGCGTCATTAGTCTGGAGTGAGTGAAGGTGACAGTTCGTGTTCAGTTCATCAGGACGAAATAAGGACAGTCATCAACAACGAGAAACAACGACTGTCACATGACAGAAAATAGCAGCAGTTTGAGTGAAAGTTGAAATTTACCACCTTTTCAAATGAGTTTAAGCACTCAAAATAAAAAGATTAAAAACTAACGGCTCTGTGATATAAAAGAAGCTTAAAAAAACAGATTAAGGCAAGTACTCAACAAGAAATTAACATTAAACCGAGTATACAAGTCACTCCGATACATAAAATACTGTATGTTTAAAAGCTTGAAGTGTAATTCTGCGATAATACTTTAATCTTTTTAAATAAAGTTCAAAACATTAAGATTTTGTGCAGCTGTGAAGCTCTAATAGTGTGAATCTCATGTACATAATCTAACTTATAAGGTTTAGCACTGAAATGTTGCAGATACATGTATATTTTGAAAATAATGGAGAGAGCTCGAGTTCTGCACTGTTAGAAAGAGCTTCACAGTTGCACAAAAATGTTTCTAACTTCTAAAATAATGGTGATAATAATAATAATACTAACTTTGTTTATATAATGCCTTTAAAAACAGAAGTTTGCAAAGGGCTTTGACAGAGAAGGAGAGTAAGTAATGATGACAGTGTAGGAGAAAGAAGAGAAATAATTCATAAGAGAGGGGAACTGAGGAAAAACAAAAATGAAAAGGAAAATTGGTTAAAAAAAAAGAGAGATTAGAAACTGTGGGGATATGAGGTACAAATAAACCAATGAATAAATAAATAAATTGAATTGTCATCTATAAAACAACCAGCCTGCTTGTATAGAGCTGTGCGATAAACTGATTTAATTAAATTATTTGTATTTGTGATTCTGTAAAGTTTTAAAAAATTCAAATCGACACTTTCTCTTTCCTGCAGAGACAAACAACAACAACAACAACAACAACAACAACATGGCGGCGAGTAAGAGTGAAGAGGTGATCCCCAAGACAGTCTCATCAGTCATGTGGACCTGGTTTTGTTTTGCGGTGTGAGACCTTGAACTAATCACAGTGTTCAGAGTCTTGACTTTGTCATTTACAGTTTTATTTTAAAGAGAAAAAGAAAAAATCATTAAAATTTGTAAATCAAGTTTTTGTTTCATTTCCAGCTCATATCACCCAGCCCTAGACTTTCCTGTTGTATCTGTGGTTTTAACTACTGAGTGGCTGAACGCTAGAGTTAGCTGTGTTCTGGTGTTAGCTTACAGGCTACCAACAAGACCCAATGACTCCCTCGTCATCTTTATCTTTAGTCTACGTGTCTAATTAGTAAGAATCATGAAATATATACCATTTAAGAGCTACAGCATAGGGCTGGGCGATATGGCCTCAAATCGTTCAGATCATAATATATTGATCAGTTCACCTCGATAACGATAAATGGACGATAACTACTCCACAAGCTGCTCACCCCCTCCCACATTAACTTCGTCTACTTCAGCCGCTTCAACTTTTGAAGAAACACTGTCCATGTTTACTTAACTAATGAGTCACACCAGCAGAACAGAGCCGGTCTTTACTGTAACTGCTATAATATCAATAAAAAGCACTTTAGCCGCTCTCAGATAAAACACAAACCGGCGTGAACATAAATAATCTGTCTGATGGGTAAAGAAACGTCGGACAGCTCATCCATTACGTCAGCTCTCCCACCTTGTGCTCGTTTCTCCTTCATAAGAATCAAATCCCATTTAACTGCTGCAGTTCAATAAAACCTGCTGCCACTCTCAGTGTTTACACTGCTAATTAAAGCTGATAATGATTTGTGGAGAGCAGGAGCTTTAATTGTCTATCCCCAGCTGACTCTGAAACTGTAACGCTCGTACAAAACAAAGTTTCACATTGAATTACTGATCCCTCTCCGTTCCAGATCACTGTTATTCCAGCTCCTAAGACCGAGGAGGTCCGACAAAGCGCCGGGTGATGACAGCCTATTATCCTGTACAAATGGCAATGCAGCTGATTTCCAGAGCTGTAAGTATGACTGGCACCTCAGCATTGCATTTAGAAATAGTCCTGCAGCTTGAAATCCGCCCACTGGCTTTCTCAGCATCCACTGTGAATTAAGGTCACAGTTTCAATCAAGGTTGTGTCTCCAGGCTTGCAGAGGGGAAAAATTCTCTCTCTCTTTTCTGTGTGAGTCTGTCTGCGTTTCTCTGATGACATTAATTTACTGTTGCAGGCGTTAGAGGGTTTGTTCTCTCCCTGCAGGAGATGCTGCAGAGGCAGAGCTAGCGCTAATCAAAACTGCAGGGCAGCTCTTTGCAGGATCCAAAGGTTTCTCGGAGGAACAGAAGCCCGGGATGGAGGCGAGGTGACCTCAGATAAAACCGGCTCAACCTCTGTCCGCTCTGACTCGCTCAGGGCGACGGTGCAGCAGCCAGGCAGAGACGGTATGGAGGGAAGAGGAGCTAACTCCAAGGACAACACAAACAAAGTGAGCCCAACTCAGAGGAAATGCACAGAGGCTGCATGAGAGGAAGTCGGTTTCATCACGACCATCTACGTAGAAGTTGGTCATGAGATCAACTGAACAGATTCAGTCGTCTAAACAAATGCAAACTAAGGATCGAGCTCTGAAATCAAATGAAATAGTGATGGGCACGGCAGTTCTTTTAGATGTACTGAATCACTAGAATCAGTTCACTAAAAAGATTCGTTCACCAAATCATTAAATCATTTAGCAGGAGAAGCCTGCGACTCCGACCTCCTGAACTGATCCACAGCTGAACGGTTCAGGATTCACTTCAGATCAGAGCTTCTGGGACCAGGAGACAAGAGTGTCTGTGTTTCTTTGACAAACAGGTTTGTAAAAATGAACTTGTTTGTAAGTCATGATGTTTTAAGTGTCCTATGGTTTGTTATTTATCAGGTCTGCTCGGTAAGTTGTTCTCAGTGAGTGATTCGTTCACTGACCGTTTAGAAGAATTCACACTGAACATGAACCGTTCCCTCGCAAACCGCTGCAGTGACAGGATGCTGTGGGTTTAATGAAAAATCACCTCCTCAGGAAGGAAGGATAATTTTAATGAACGGGTTCTAAAGATTCAGTACACTCAAAAGAACTGTTCTTCCCATCATCACGTAGAAGGTGGTCGTGAGATCAAGTTTGTAAAAGTCTTTAAGACGCCTGAAGTTCAGAGGTCGACTCTTCAAGTATAATTGTCAAGATTTATCTTAAAACAAGACATTTCCAGGACTCGTCAGGCGAATGTGGCTTAAATAAAGCCTGACGACACTTTCCTGGAAACATGACAATAACACTCGCTGAGAAGAGGAGATTTTAATTCATAATAAATTTAATCCTTACACTGGAGTTAATAAAAGATGAATCAAACCCTAAAGCCCACCTCTGCATGTGTACGATGTGTGATTAAAAAGGAGAGGGATATTAACATGCACAGAAACAATGACGGCTTCCACACTGAGCTGAGGTCTTATTTGGATTAAGTAGTTTTTTTATGAGCTCTTCACAACATGAGATCTAGTGTGTCTGTTGCCATGAGTACAGCAGAGGGGGAAAAAATCACCCCGCGCCGCGCACACCTGTAGTTCTCCATCCACTGATGGAGGAGTCTGCCAGTGAACCAGCAGGAAACAAACACATCCACCAGCTCCCTCCTGCAGCCTCGCCTCAACATACGGCTACACCTTTCACCCAGCATGACGTGAGGATCCTGACAGTGGGGGCGGGAGCAGAACCGGACCTTCAGCGAGGAAGTTCAAGGTGTTAAAAGCCCGGTATTATTTATTCATAGCATGCATCTACCCAAAAACCCTAATCCTTAAGCTGCCTGTAAACACTCATTAATCCTTTTTTTACTCCTCTAACTTGGCAGGTATTAAGTGATAATAGCTGTGTCCTTATTGAGGAGCTTTATCCTCTCAAGTGTGCTTTCTCTGGCCTGAACCCAACCTCCTGGGTGGACTAAATCTGACCAGTTTGAAAGGCTTCTTAAGACGGATTTTCAGTATGTAGCATCAAGAACAACCCTCTTCACAATGGGTCATTTCAGAGAACAGAGACAGAGTTTTATTATCCTTACAAACGGACTCCATCACTGACCATCTAGACAATCATTCATGCCTCACACGGGGCACCAAAATAACATGTAGTGATTTGAATGTATAATGCGTGACATAATTCAAGATTATTATCAATTATTAATGTTAGGAAATTTATTTATTTGAACATGTAAAGTTTATTCGTTAAACCTCAAATAAGAGGGTTTTTGATTCAGTAATTAGGACTCAGAACCTCATATACTGCTATTAAAGTGAGACTAATTAAAGACGGTGTTAAAGAGTTTTTATAGGATGAGGATTTTACATTTTTTTAAACTAGAACCAAATCAAGCTAACTAGACAAAAAGTAAATAAACTTGATTATCTTTACCTCCTTCAGCCACAGGCCTTCTTTGGCTTTTTAGCAGATGACTTGTGCTGCCCCCTGTAGGTCTGCAGTGTCATTACAGTAATAACTCTATTAGGTTTGGTTGTGACTTTGAGCCATAACTGTCAAGTATCCCGTCTTGGCAGAGAAACTACCATTGAAATCGATTCAACGATTTCAATTTTTTAAGATCCTCATAATCAAATAATTTGATTAAGATTCAAATTCGATTAATCGTGCAGCCCTAGATAAAAGACATTTGTCTGAAGTTTAAACATGTCTTCACTAAAGCTTCGCTCCTCTCCTCGGGTGACTCTTATAGGATGACCAAATTCGTCTATAATGTCTGGAAATGAGGGGTTGCTCAAACCCCCCACAGGCCAAAACCACCCCGCTCTCCCCTATCATCAGTTTTTGCTTTAAGTCCAGCTCCACTATAATCCTGAGCAGCTTTTGAGTCCATCGGGGTTTATTCCTAAAAACAGCTGACCCAAAAGTCCTTGGTTAAGAAACAGAGTTGGAAAACAGACCAAATAAACAGCTTTATTATTGAGTCTGCTCTCTCTGAATGCCATAGTCTCACATTCAATAAGCAACAGAAATGGAAATGCTGCAGCTTACAGAGACACTGTGAACCAGGGTGCGACAGCTTGCAAACAACATCAGTATAAAATCTGCTGAATGAAACTTCATGTTTTCTTTTGTCTGCCGCAAATGTGAATATCTTAAAGCAGCAGTCCGCAGCAGACTGAGATGATTTCTTGCCAGTTTGACATCATGAAGGATGTTTCCCCTTGTGTACGAAATGCAAAAATGGTTTAATATACAGCTTAGCATATATCACATAAACACAAAGACATTTACACCAGAGCTCTGCTTAGCAAACAGAGCTTTTGTCTCCATGCAACCACAGATGAAAACACTCCAAACAGCATATAGAAAATGAGACAGATTGTTTTCATCTCTTTACCAAGGTCCTATTAGTGGTGCAAGTGTATTTCTCAGCAGAGGCTCCGCTGTAAATCACATCTGTAGAGTCCCTTTGTGTCTGCATCCCTACAACGTTCACATAATGACTTAAAGTCAAGCAGCAGACACAAAGCAGCACAGCGCTATCTTTGTTAGCTGCTGCTGCTGGAGTCTGGCTGGGATCTGGAGGATATAATATCAGTGTGATACGCTTCAGAGCTCTGCGTCTGAGAATGGCATTTCTGAACGCTGCAGCTCCACCATGCTCTTGTCACACCATAATATGATGTGAAATGCTGCTTAATGTCTAATGTCAACATGCCAGTCCCTCCGGCTCGGGATGCAGCACTCCAAGACTCCATGGAATCTGGTGACATTTCCATGGACTGTTTATTCCAGAAATGCTGTTTTTTTTTTTTCCACCACGAGAAAAGAAAGAAAGGAAAAAAAGAGAGAGAAAGAGAGGTCAACAGACGGCAGTGGGTGGGTGGAGTGATACAGCTCAGCTTTTACGGTGCTGTGAGAGAGAAAAAAAAGCAGGTATTAAAATCTGGAGCTCCTTCTGCGAGCTGCGGGGGGTCGTCTCAAGAACATATTAACATATGAATCAGAGTGATATGAGACTGAGTCACCCTGTAAGAGAAAGTGTGATGAACTGTATGAGGTCTGCTAACGAGGCACAGCACATGAGTGGGATAAAAACAAGCAGGGAATCGGTGCTTTCGTTCATTTAGCAGACTCAGAAAGACGGAGATGACGCTTCTCCGTGTGCAGGATAGTTTCTTCAGAAAGCAGCACCGTGAACGAGATGTTCTCCTTCAAGTACATCTGAATACAGTTAATGAGCGCTCACAACTACAGCGCCAAGGGGGCGAAAAAGGAGACTCAGTGATGGTCAGGAATAAAGTGGTGCAGAAGATGGAAAAGTTGTTCAGGAGTTGAGATGCTGGTTATGAAATCAGGGTTATCTTAGTCGGATTGTTTGATTATGATGATGTTAAAAAAAAATTAAAGTCGTCAAATCGATTTTCCTCTCCGTCATGTCTCGTGCCTCCAGGCCACCGTAGGCTCCCCAGTTCCCACACACACCAGTGTAAACAAACATGGCGTTTGCAAAAGAAGGCGATAATTTCGTGGTTAAATCAGACAAGAGCGAGTCAGTCGTGTGGAATTGGTACAACTTCACAGTTTCAGATGAAGAGTAAACCCCTCCCCGCGGCAAAGTCTGTCTGAGGGCGGCATCAACCCGTCACCACGGAAACTAATTCAGGAGGAAACGCAAAGGTTTTTTGTCATATCGAAAATGGCGTTTCAGGTGACTATAAACGTTACTTTTTAAAAACGGGTCAGAGAGTGAATAAATCTGTAAACGACGACCATTTCATCTCCGTGTGGATGTCTATCTGCATCTCTGGAAACGATCATGTGACACACAGAGTAACTCTCTTATGGCGCCTGAGCGTGTCCGACCAAAACAACCTTTATACACATGCTCTGTACTCTTCTTCTGTCTTTTGTGCATTTCCTGTGCAGCGTCACAGCGCCACTTACTGTCTTGGCATATGTACTACATTGTTTGAAGTTGAAGTTGTCGCTGGATTAAAAAAAATCCAAAAGCAAAATTGAAAATTGAGTTTTTAAAGAAAAAAATCTGGATTTTATTTTTGGCCAAAATCGTGCAGCAGTAGGTTTTCTGAACATCATAAATCAGCTGTCAGGAGGTCAAGAAATTAGGTGTCACAGAGTCAGTATGTTGAGACGCAATAGTCCGACTGAAACTGGACTTTGTTGAAATACGAGTCCAACTAAAATCTCACTAATTCAAACGTCTTACAGACGGACTACCACACCTGGATGATGCTGTTGGGGTTGATTTTCTCTTTACTTTGACCCTTAAGTCACATGGATGTGTTGCTATGAACCTGAGTAGTGAACAAACCTGGTGGACATGCTTTGTCATAATTCAGTTCTTGCCTGACGCTCATAAACTGCGACAGTAGTCCAGTTAAATCAGCTTGACTTGGACACAGACGGCTGTAGCTGTAAATAGGGGGAGTTTATGCACCACCCGACTCCTCCTCTTTCCCGTTGACGGGCTGACCAAAGTAATGTCG